GTACGAATGACATTCCATCTCTGTAGCTATTTCCTGTCTGACTTGCAAAATTTGTAATAGAAAAATTAATTTATATTTCTTCCATTTACAACTGATCAGTAGGCTACTAAGAATTTGAAGAGGTTTAGGCATTCAAACAAATAACTGAAGCACTTGCAGTTCCACCTGAGAATGAGAAGCCATAATTAGACATGTTCAACATAATTGTGTGTTCAACACAATTGTGTATTCCACAACTCTCTAAAACGCTCCTTCAAAAGCATTCTGTAAAGTAAGATAAATTCTTTATCATCCTACTGGTTTTAAATGTGATGTCTGATATGACTTGTTACCAAGTTGCTATTCCAAGAAACTATAGAGATGAAAAGAGTTCTTTGTAACGACTCGGGTACTGAATAAGCACAGGATAAGACCAGAGAGCTGGGATGTGATAACTTCAAAAGAGAAAAATACATTCATTTCCTCCTACAGTACCTTCCATGATCTTTAGCAACTTCTTCAGGCTGCCAAACTGATCCTTGGTCTCCAGCCTATTTGCTTCCTCACTGTTCTTTTTTATTTAAATCTCATAAAAATATTTTGTCCTGTCCTAACATGCAGACTTGGTATGAGTAAGTCTGACTCAATACCATACATTTATCTAGTAATGAAATATCAGATTTGACCATGCTTAAGCTAGTAAAAAAAATTTGGCACCCCATAATTGACAGTAAAAGTCAAACCTATCACTCTGAGGTGGTATCTCTTTCCAGTTCTGCCTCCCACCATGATATATTCTATCCTCATATTCACATAATGTGTAACAGAATCAACCTCCAACCCTTCTCTCAATGAAACAACCCATGATAACCATATTCCACAGAAATATCAGGTAGGAAATAGATTTCACCTTTCAAAAAACCTGCATATTAATCACAGGACTTAATTTTCACAAGACTTAAGAAGACAGCTGATTTTATAACATTTAGTTGTAAATGAAAAACTGATTTCTTCATCTCAGTCACCCTGCCAACATATGAACAAAGAATAACAATAGGTAAAAAAATCCCTTTAAATAGATACTGTTACTGTAATATAGGCTTTTTATTACTATTTTAATTATTTCAGAGGCATTCAGTTGATCTGCTATAGTGAAAGGGCCATGTAAATACTAATATTGCCCTCACTTCACCACTCAGACAAAAATGACCACCAAGTGCCACTCAGGCTTTAAATTTCAGAACACACTCACTTCAAACTTTTATCAGAGGATTCAGCAGACCACACTGTGTTGATTTACCTACAGCTGGCATAATAATACTAAAGGAAACCATGCATCCCTATTTTATACAAAACTGACTTCAATTTTCAAATGCAACCTAAAATATGTTCACAAACAATTCATCATACAGCAGAATGTTTACCTTTTAATTGGATAGAGAATTTCTGAAATTATTACATAATAATTTAAAATTAAATGCAAGTTCACCAAGGTAAAGGAAATTATAAACAGTCTGTTGGAGTCTCTTAACCCCTAACACAAAAAGTAACACAATATGGGGAGATCTGAGAATTATTTTTGTAGTCCTGTCTAAGAACATTATATATCATGCACAGTAAAGTTAATTTCAGGTGCTTTTCACTTCAAGGAGTCCTCGTTTCAACATTTGCTGGCATTTCAATCCTACCTTCAGGATATTTCAGCTGTCAGGACATTTCTGTAAAGTGATAAAGCCATAACAATTCTGACAGGACAATGATGATGATTTGACAAACTTTTGTGAACTTTAGAAGCCATAGTAGCTAAAGATACTGTACTTTACACTACATTAGATTACAAATGCCTTACCTCTTGATGGAAGCAGTATAATACACGTAAGTAGTAAGGAAAGCAAAAGGCATATAACCACACCAAATATGATTTTTATCCGGGTCTGCAAGACAGAAACAAACAATAATTACATTTCTAATATTGCCTGAAGCACACTTCTATGGCTTGTAAATAATTAAACCCTCCCACACTTTCTAACTGATCGAATCTGTCTAAGCAACAAGCAAAAACGTCCCTGCACTACATTTGAAAAGATTTCCCCTTCCTTTTTCTTTAAAACAAATACTTTCACATCAGAGCCTGACATTGTGCAATAGCTGACAGTTTTAAACAACAGATGTAAATGTTACCAAAAGCTGAATTCAACAGCATACAGACCTTCATTTTCCTGCTGTATTCTAAAAGAATGTAAATTCTCTCTTCTGGGTGTTGGTCAGTGGATCTAGGAGAGGAGTTTGGAAAGGCAGTGTCTGTTTTCACAGTTGGAGGCCAAACCTCTGGCAGACTTTTTTTTTTCCTACATACTTTTGAAAACTCTGCCAAATTTCAAAGGGTTTCCATAAAATTAGAAACACACTTTTGGGGAAGTTCTTGGACCAGAAACGGACAGTGGGTGGCTATAGGGGTGGTGATTATATACTTCCTATCAGTGTGAGCTGTAACCAACATCTGCTTACAGTAACTTAGGGGTTTTATGACTCAACAGTTACTTGATATGTACTGTTTTTCTCTGGAAAGTATCTAGTGTGTATTTTGGCAATCCTCACATTCTCAGGACATAGTCATGACCTTATTTCTACTTTCTACAGAGGAATTAAAAGAAAATCCTATCCCTCTATTGTTTACATATAATTTGTGTATGTTTACTTTCTGAAATAATAAATGATGGTGTAAGAATGCAAAACAAGAAGCAGAAACAGATATCGTTTAATGTATTCCACATGTGAGGAGAATTATTTTTCTCAGAAAATAAATTTCTATAGGCTATATAAGAGAGTTTAAGAGAAATAAATTATCTACAGGACCAGTAAAAACTCTGAAATAATGTTTAAACCACCAATTGCATGTATTTTATTTAGCGCACTGAAATGAGGTCAGTCGAAAACAGCGAGAACTTGAGACCGCAGTGTCAAGTTACGTAAGAGATTCCTCAGCAGAAGGAAGAAACTCTCGAAAGGGGAAGTAAAAAAATACCACGCTCATTAGACTGACTTTACCCAAATATTCTCCCTGCCGGCCTGGCCCAGCGCCGCTGCGGGGAGGCGGGGGCAGGAGCGGAGCAGCCCGCGCCGGGCCC